GACGTCAACGGTGATGGCGCCCTGGACTACACCGAGTTCCTGGCCACCACCCTGCACAGCAGCCGCCTGGAGGAAGAGGCCAACATGAGGACCGCCTTCCAGGTCGGCCACTCCGGGGTCAACTCGATCCCAGGGCGGCAGGATTTAGAAGAGCTGGCTTCCCACATGTTCAGTCCACCATGTTCGGTCCACCACGCGCCAATCAATGCTTGCCGAGCTGTAGTAGGAGTCGAAAGTGCCAGGCGCTCCGCCCGGCCCCCCGGCGCCGTGGCTGGCTGTGCGTGACCGGCTGCCTGCCTGCGTCTCCCCCTCCCCAGCACTTTGACCGCAACGACTGTCCGTCTGCACGCCCCTCCCTCCCCAGCACTTTGACCGCAACGGCGACGGCCGCATCTCGGCGGACGAGCTGGCCGCTGCGCTGGCAGCGGCCGGCGACGCCACGTCGCCGGAAGACGTTGCTGACATCATCCGCCAGGTGCGGGGCCGCCCGCGGGTACCCCGGCTGACGGTGGGCCCAAGTAACGGACACGCACGCGCAGCAGTCGACGTCTCCAGCACCGGCATGGCTTTGGGCGTTATGTGAGGTTCATTTTTTTCCAGGGCTTGGCAGTCTTGCGTGGAGGTGGCTGAGGGTGTTCAACGTGTCTTGCCCGTCCATGCTCATCACAGGTGGATCAGGACGGCAACGGCGAGATAGATTATGCAGAGGTGGGAGGGCAGGGCTTGACGGGATTTTAGGATGTGTGCATGCGCAGGGCCGGGGCGCAGCTAGCTGCATCCGGTGTTTCAGTGTTGGCCTTTCAGATGCTTTGGTATATTTTCATGCTGGCGGGGCCCTGCCGCGCAAGTCCCAAATCTTCAGCCTCCACCCCCGCCTCTGGATCCGCTCTCACCAAAACCCTGGCAGTTTGTGACGATGATGGTGACCCACACGGCGGTGTCGGCGGCCTGGACGCCCGGCGGCGACGGCCGGCCCCCCATGAGCCTCGCCCTGGGCGTCACCTGCAGCGGCCGCGTCGAGAGCCGCGCCGACCTCGCCGGCCAAGCCGCCGCCGCCGCCGCTGCGGGTGGCGGCGGCCGCGGCGGGGGCGGCGCGGGGCTGGCGCGCGGCGGCAGCAGCTCGAGCGCTGAGTCCCCACTGGCTCCCCTCGACGCGCGGCGCCCGCAGCTGCCGTGATCGCGGGACGGCAGCGGGCGGCCGCCGCCCGACGCCTGCGGTGCAGGCGCCGCGGCGCCTGCCTGGCAGCCCCCTGTTTGGCCACCGCAGATGTGTTGCCCAGCGGGCCTCGTGTCTCGTCACCTCAAGAGGCGGCAGTTGAGCTGAGGGGCGCCCGCCGTGCTAAGAGATTTTCAGACAACTGAATTGCGCGGCTCAGTGCCGGCTGCCACTTTGTAGGTTCAACAAATGAGCAAAGGGCCCAGGTTTGTATTACTTTGCAGCACTCACGCCCTGCCTCTGCGATTTGCGGCGGCGCTCGATCAGGCGGCGGGCACGTTTGCACAATCCATGAGGCGGGTCGCCCAAGCGCATAGGCTCTTTTGCTGACGCGACTTTCTGCTAACTTTTGAACGGCACGCACATCTTTGAATTCTGCGATAGATTGAGCATGTCAGTGTGTTTTATAACATATTTCTGTCTACTGGCCGCCACCCAGTTGCTTGGTGGCAGGGCCAGATTTGCTGTTGTGTGGGGAGTGAACACCGAGTGCGCACAAACGGCCGTCTTACTTCTCTCCCCTGCTCCTCTTGTCACGCCGATGACTGGCACTTCCTGGCTGCGCGCCGTGAACCCACCCCCCTTTGAAGTCACAAGC